AAAAAAAAAAAAAAAAAAAAAAAAAAGGGGCTGGGCGTGGTGGCTCATGCCTGTAATCCCAGCACTTTGAGAGGCTGAGGCAGGCAGATCATGAGGTCAGGAGATTGAGACCAGCCTGACCAACGTGGAGAAACCCCATCTCTACTGAAAATACAAAATTAGCCAGGTGTGGTGGTGCATGCCTGTAATCCCATCTACTCAGAAGGCTGAGGTAGGAGAGTCATTTGAACCCAGGAGGCGGAGGTTGCAGTGAGCCAAGGTTGCACCATTGCACTCCAGCCTGGACAGCAAGAGTGAAACTCCATCTCATAATTGTAGTGGCTGGGCATGGTGACTCACACCTGTAATCTCAGTACTTTGGGAGGCGAAGGTGGGCAGATCACCTGGGGTTAGGAGTTTGAGACCAGCCTGCCAACATGGTGAAACCCCATATCTACTTAAAAAATGCAAAAATTAACCGGGCGTGGTGGCACATGCCTGTAATCCCAGCTACTCAGGAGGCTGAAGGAGGAGAATCACAAATCCAGGAGGTGGAGGTTGCAGTGAGCCAAGATCGTGCCATTGTACTCTACCTGGGTGACAAGACCAAAACTCCATCTCAACAAAAAATTTTTTTTTGTTATTGAGATGGGTTCTCACTATATTGCTCAGGCTAGTCACTATATTGCACAAATTCCTGGGCTCAAGGTATCTTCTCACCTTGGCCTCCCAAAGTGTTGGAATTACAAACATGAGCCACTGTGCCCAGCCTGCCTCTCTCTCTCTCTTTCTTTCTGTCTCTATCTTTCTTTCTTTCTTTTTCAGAGTCTTGCCCTGTTGCACGATCTCAGCTCACTACAACCTCCACCTCCCAGGTTCAAGCAACTGTTGTGCCTCAGCCTCCTGAGTAGTTAGGATTACAGGCATATGCCACCACATCTGACTAACTTTGGTATTTTTACTAGAGATGTGGTCTCACCATCTTGCTCAGGCTGGTCTCAAACTCCCGACCTCAAGTGATCCTCCTGCCTTGACCTCCCAACGTGCTGGGATTGTAGGGGTGAGACTCTGCACCAGACCAAGCCTTAAATTTTCAAGTGATGTACTTGAACATAGTTTTCTAAAATCATATAGAGGTAGATGAATTTTAAAAACCAGGTTATTTTTCCCCATAGTCTCCATTGAAATGATGGAGCTTTATTGTGTGGTTTCACATGTTCCTCTGGCCCTTAATGTTTACTCTACACTGGTAGATTTAGAGACTTGTTCAGATTCAGATTCAAATGTTTTCAAGGAAGTGGGGCAAGATTACTATATAGGTGATGATGTATTCCATCAGGAGACACATAGTTCCTGGTTGTCTGTTCTGTGATGTTAACAGCAGTGCCTAGATCCACTGACTCCTGATGAACTCCAAAATACTGGAATTCCAGTATGGTTCTGTCTGTTTCTTGTCCAAAATATGTTTTTTTTCTTTCTTTCTTTTTTTTTTTTTTTTTGAGACAGGTTCACTCTGTCACCCATGCTGGAGTGCACTGGTGTGATCATGGCTCACTGCAGCCTCTACTTCCTGGGCTCAGGCAATCCTCCCACCTCAGCCTTTTGAGTAGCTTGGACTACATGCTCCTGCCACCATGCCCAGCTCATTTTTTTATTTTTTGTAAGATGGGGGTCTCTCCATGTTGCCCAGGCTGGTCTTGAACTCTTCAACTCAAATGATCTTCCCACCTCCGCCTTCCAAAGTGCTGGGATTAGAGGCGCATAAACGGCCATGCCTGGCCCTTCTTTTCAAATATATATTTGACTTCCTTTCAGATGTATTTTTTTATCAGAACGCTCTTTTTAAATAGCCTGTGAGTTTTGCTGACTTTTGAAAAGATCCACCTTCCTCGCCTCTGCTGAGCATCAGGATATTCTATCTTCCCTCAGTGTAACAGACTTCTCCACCCTTGCTTACAAGGCAAATCCCGAAGCGGGTTTTGGGCATACTCAGTTATAGAAGAAAGCCTATAGTTGTGATATGTGAAGAAGTGAGATTTAGTGATTATTATTGATTCTATGCGTTGGCTTAGGTCAGCTGAATGGTTTTTCTGTCTCACTTGGCATTGGCTAGGATTACTCATTTGGGGCAAGAATTTAAAAGATGACTTTATTCACATTTGGAGCCTCATGGGAGCTGCTCTCTTCAGCTGGATGGTCAGACTTCCTACCTGGTACCTCAAGGCTTCAGGAGGATGAATGCAAAAGCTACCCTGTGTCTCAAGGGCTCGGCCTGAATTGGCACCGTGTTTCTTCTGTCACATTCTACTGGTTTAAGCAGGTCACAGGCCAGCTCAGGTTCAAGGAGAGGGGAAACAACTTCCCCTCTCAATGGGAGAAGAGACATGTACACACAGGATGGGAGGAATTGCTGGCCGTCATCCTTGCCTATAAGCTACCACCGAAAGAAAAGTGTGGGGTACACATTTTTGCTTTGAAAATGTAAGTGAGGTTTTTCACCTTTTAAGATGAACAAAATGTCAGTTAAGAAACAAAACTCACCTTGGGGACTGTATGGATAAAGGGTTTAGAAATCATATGTAAAGAATTTTATAGTTGAGAGGAAGGAAGTTGTTAGTGAATGGACATCTGAATTGAGGAGAGACGTGAAGGCGAGGCATACAGTCTATGAAAGAAGAGTTTAGCAATGCTGTTTCTCTTGAAACAGAGAGAAGGAGCCGAGTAAGTGTTCCTCAGCTGAACCCCAACTGAGAGAATGGAATTCAAGATCTGACAAATGTTGTTCTTGGTTTGTTGGTATAGAAACCACAGAGAGGGGAGTGTTCCCTGACTCACCCCTCCAGCATGGGAGAAGCAACAAGAATCAAAGGAGAATAGGGGTCCAAGAAGCTCCATGTATGTTTCTTTTTTTTTCTTGAGACGGAGTCTCGCTCTGTCACCAGGCTGGAGTGCAGTGGCGCAATCTCAGCTCACTGCAATCTCTGCATCTCGGGTTCAAGTGATTCTCCTGACTCAGCCTCCTGAGTAGCTGGGTGTATAGTTGCATGCCACCACACCCAGCTAATTTTTGTATTTTTAGTATAGACAGGTTTTCACCATGATAGCCAGGCTAGTCTCAAACTCCTGACGTCAAATGATCTGCCTGCCTTGGCCTTCCAAAGTCCTGGGATTACAGGCGTGAGCTACCGCACCTGGCCAACAACCAAGTCTTAAAGGATTGAGAGGTGGGACAGGTAAAGGGCTGAGTATTAAGTTTATTCACATTATTGTGCTACCGTCACCACTGTCCATCTCCAGAACTTTTTCATAATTCTAAACTGAAACTCTATAGCCATTAAACACTGATTTCCCATTTCTCCCTCCCTGCAGCACCTGTTAACCATGATTCTGCTTTCTGTGTCTATGAATTTGACTACTTCAGATACCTCATATAAGTGGAATCATATAACATGTGACCTATTGTGACTGGCTTACTTCATTTAGCATTATGCCCTCAAAATTAATCCATGTTATAACATGTATCAGAATTTCATTCCTTTTAAAGCTGAATAGTATTCCATTGTGTGTATATGCCACACTTTTTTTTTTTTGAGACAGAGTCCTGCTCTGTCGTACAGGCTGGGGTGCAGTGGCACAATCTCAGCTCACTGCAACCTCCATCTCTGAGGTTCAAGTGATTCTCCTGCCTCAGCCTCCCAAACAGCTGGGATTACAGGTGCCTGTCAGTATACCCAGCTAATTTTTGTATTTTTAGTAGGCATGGGGTTTTGCCACATTGGCCAGGCTGGTCTCGAACTTCTGACCTCAGGTAATACACCCACCTTGGCCTCTCAGAGTGCTGAGATTACAGGTGTGAGCCACCGCCTCCACCACCACATTTTATCTATCCATCCTTCGATGTACATTTGGATTTTTTCACCTTTTGGCTATTTTGAATAATTCAGCCATGAGCAAGGGTGTACAAATATCTGTTTGAGTCCCTGCTTGCAATTCTTTGTGTATATACCCAGAAATGGAATTATTCCATCATACGGTAATTCTTTACTAAAGTTTTTGAGCAACTGCCATACTGTTTTCCACAGTGACTATACCATTTTACATTCCAACTAACAATGCACAAGGGTTCCAGTTTTTCCATATTCTTGCCAATACTTTTTTTTTTTTTTTTTTTTTTTTGAGACGGAGTTTCGCTCTTGTTACCCAGGCTGGAGTGCAATGGCGCGATCTCGGCTCACCGCAACCTCCGCCTCCTGGGTTCAGGCAATTTTCCTGCCTCAGCCTCCTGAGTAGCTGGGATTACAAGCATGTGCCACCATGCCCAGCTAATTTTTTGTAGTTTTAGTAGAGACGGGCTTTCACCATGTTGACCAGGATGGTCTCAATCTCTTGACCTCGTGATCCACCCGCCTCGGCCTCCCAAAGTGCTGGGATTACAGGCTTGAGCCACCGCGCCCGGCCCGCCAATACTTTTTTTTCTTTTTAAAGTAATAACCCCCCAATTAGGTGTGAGATGGTAACACATTGTGGTTTTGATTTGCACTTCCCTAATGATTAGTGATGATCATTTTTTCATGTGCTTATTGGTCATTTGTATATCTTCTTTTGAGAAATATCTTGAAATCCTTTGCCTGTTTCAAAATTGGGCTTGTTGTTGTTGCTATGTTGTAGGAGTTCTTTTTATATTCTGGATATCAGTCCATTAATAGATTATGTGATTTGCAAATATTTTCTTACCATGGAATATGATGTTAGTTGTAGGATTTTCACATATGGCTTTTATTATGTTGAGGTAGTTTACTTCTTTTCCTCATTTCTTGAGTGGTTTTATCATGAAAGGGTGTTAGATTTTTGTCGAGTGCTTTTTCTGCATCAGTTGAGATGATCATGTGTTTTTTTTAACCTTTATTCTGCTAATGTGATGTATTATATTGGTTGCTTTTTGTGTATTAAACCATCTTTGCATTCCAGGAATAGGTTCCACTTGGTCATGGTATGTAATCCTTTTAATATGCCACTGAATTTGGTTTCCTAGTACTTTGTTGAAGACTTTTGCATTCAGTATTCATAAAGGATATTTGTCTGTAGCTTTCTTTTCTTTTAGTGGCTTTGGCATCAGCTTAATGCCAGCTTCATAGAATGACTAGTAAGTGTTCCCTCTTCAATTTTTTGAAAGATTTGAGAAACATTGGTGTTAGTTCTTCGTTAAATGTTTGGTAGAATTTCATAGTGAAGCCTTGGGCTAAGGGCTAGAGAGAAGGATTTCATAAGAAGGAAGTAGACCAATTGTTCATGGTCTGTGAAAGAAGCAATAAAAGAAGCAGGCTCAGATTAGGAAATGAAAGATGGTGTTTGGAGAGTAAGGAGAAAATCCTTTCCCAGAGAATGGTCAAGACAGTCCCATATGGCCTCTAACTTGGACCTCTCAGAGGAGGGGAAGAATAGGCAACAGCCTCGTGGTTCTCCAGCCTCCAGGTGATGGGCCGAGTTGGACTGGCACTGTGGTCTCTGTTACTCAAGGGCTCCATGATTCTATGATGTCACTGAAGAGAGAAGAATGGGGAACTGGACTCAGCTCCAGCTGCTCTGATTCCTCTCTCCTCTGGATCCTGATAGTTTTTGGGATGAGGGGAGGTGAGCTGCATGATCACACGTGTCCTAGCTCAGTCTCCCCTCTGGCCACCTCAGCCCCCACCACATTTACGGAGAGAAATTAGCCAGTGTGAGTCAACTCCGCAACAAGCAGAGCATCTTTTATGAAGCTAAACTGACCAAAAGAACAACAATGAAAACAGCCTTTTATTCCTCTGTTTCTAGAAAACTTAAAGAACAAGAGAACTACATTCAAATTGAGCTGGAAAAGAATATTTGGACAATCTGTGATTGTGAGAGTGGATGAATCTTCTAGCTAAACCTATGAGCTTTGAAACCACAGCAATCACTTTCTTCATCATTCTTCTAATTTGCTTCATTTGCATCCTCCTTTTATTGGTGGTCTTTTTATATAAATGGTATAAATCCATGCTGATAATTGGGATCAGATTTCAAGTCACATTAGCAAATGTATCTAGAAATAATGTAAAACAATTTAAAATAGAACAAGTAATAATACCATGGCTGTCTACTTTTTTCATTTCAGCATTTTAGAAATGCTGATTTTCTGTTTAAAAGTGAAGTTTCTATGCCACACCTTAAAATCAGGGCCATTCTTCTTTTTCTGAATTTGTGGCTTTTTTTTTTTTTTTTTTTTTTCAGTTTCCAAGGCAGGAAAGATACAGACACAAAGAAAGCACCTTGTACAGATGCAAACGGAGGTATAGACTGTGCAGTTGCCAAAGTGGTGACAAGCAATCCAGAGGACCATGAAAGGTGACTGTGGCACAGGATACAGCAGAAGCTATTTTCTGTGTATTAGTGAGGACGAGGATACATGAATGTTTAAAACTCTATGGATTGATTTTCTAGGGTCTTAATGCAAGTTGTGAACTTGAATGTGCCGATGAGGCCTGGCATTCTTGTCCAAAGACAGAGTAAGGAAGTGTTGGCCACATCCTTAGAAAACAGAAGAGATATGGAGGCAGAAGAGGAGAACCAAATAAATGAGAAGCAAGAGACTGAGAATGCTGGAGAAACTGGTCAAGAAGAGGTGATATGTTTACTCTCAAGGGGCAGATTTAGAATTTGTTTGACTGAAAAGAAGATAAATTCCTTAGCTAGATATACCTAATAGGAGATGGAGTTGCCTGTAACTTAGGTTTGTAGGTATAATGACTCCAATGCCCACAGTTATTTAAGCCATTCTGGTTGCTTATCAGTTTATGTTACTAAACCATTACATATGCCAAGTCTAGAAACTTGCTCAGTCTTCATTCTTTGTCTTTTTCTTAATAATTCCTCTTGTTTGTTTTTCTCAAAATTCTAGAATCTTAGAGCTGTTAAGAGATCATCTAGGGATCCATCGCTCTCCTGTTTTCCAATGAGAAAACAAAATGAATTGTTTACTTCTCCAGTGTGGCCAAGCTCAGGCCCAGATTGTGGCTCCCTGTGCTAGTTACAAGGTCCTACAACAGCACACAACATGGCTGGAGCCTTCTTGAGTTCCATGTCTGGGACTCCCTAACATGAACAACTCACATGCCCTCCCACCCCATGGCCATGCCCAGTCCACAACAGAATGATGGTTCAGGTGGCTCTTTGGTTTGACCACTTTGTGGAGAGAATTACATGTCACCAAATGTTATTTGAATATGTCAGTGTATGCTTTTATAGCCAAAAAAATGTGAAAATGTAATCATGATGGATTATTGCTGCTTTCCTATATCATTTGGAAATGCTTTTTCTATTTTTCGTTAACAGTGTATATATAATTTTAAAAGCAGCGGATGTCATAAATTGATTATTTGTTTATATTGTTTGTCCTCATTCTCTTGCAGGATGATGATTTGCAGAAAACACACACATCTGTCACTAGAACTCCTTCAGTTGTTGAAAGCCAAAAAAGACCTTTAAAAGGAGTGACATTTTCTAGGGAGGTAATTGTTGTGGATCTTGGGAATAAACACCCTATACCTCAAAGCTATACTCGAGAACATAAAGAGAGAAAATGAAGCTCCAAAAAGGGTAAGAGTGAAAGAAAATGTAACCTTTAACTAACATTGAAATGACTGAGGGTACAAAATCATGGTGAAACAGCAAAACAATGGGGAATTAAGCAAATAAATATAGTATATTACCTTTTTGCAGAAAGGAGTGGGCCAAGGGCAAAATTCTGTAAGTAAAATACTCAGAGCTTGAATATAGTTTTTTAAAATTCAAATCTGGGTTCAAGGAATTGATTATATTGCCCTTAAAACTGTCTACTCGGCTAGGCGCAGTGGCTCACGCCTGTAATCCCAGCACTTTGGGAGGCCGAGACGGGCAGATCACAAGGTCAGATCAAGATCATCCTGGCTAACACGGTGAAACCTCATCTCTACTAAAAATACAAAAAATTAGCCAGGTGTGGTGGTGCACGCCTATAGTCCCAGCTATTTGGGATCCTGAGGCAGAAGAATCGCTTGAACCTGGGAGGCAGAGGCTGCAATAAGGTGAGATCGTGCAACTGCACTCCAGCTTGCACAACAGAGCGAGACTCAGTCTCAAAAAAAAAAAACCAAAAAAAAAAAACGCACAAACAACTGTCTACTTAAACACTGTTCTGGCATGTGAATAAAGTGGTTTGTGTTTGTACAGATGCCTATTAGGTACATCATATTCAAGGGGGATTTTTAAAAATAATGCATGTTCTGATCATAAGCATTCATGACCAAATAACATTGCAGCTGTCATCATGGAAACTTCCATAACTGTGGTCTTCTACTATATAATCCCCATTGAACTCAGTCCTGAAACTTTTCTTATACTGACAACTGTTTTTAAAAATTGGTACAGACTGGGCGCAGTGGCTCAAGCCTGTAATCCCAGCACTTTGGGAGGCCAAAGTGGGTGGATCCCCTGAGGTCAGGAGTTCAAGACCAGCCTGGCCAACATGGTGAAACCCCATGTCTACTAACAATATAAAAATCAGCCAGGCATGGTGGTATGCCTCTGTAATCCCAACTACTTGGGAGGCTGAGGCAGGAGAATCGCTTGAACATGGGAGGCAGAGGTTGCAGTGAGCTGAGATTGTGCCACTGCACTTCAGCCTGGGTGAGAGAGTGAGACTCCATCTAAGAAAAAACCAAAAACAACAAACAAACAAAAACACAAACTGCTAGCAACAACAAAACACCCTATTACTTTAGGCAAATTCTAAGATTATACATACTATCCTTGATTTCAGTGGTTTACAATTTGCTGTGCATGTGTGGAATATGACAGTACAGACTGGTAGGACACCATCCACACAGCTGCAGTACGCATTTGTGAAATGTCTAAGGGGCTCTGAGAGAGAAAAAGCAGGAAATGTAGCATTTGATTCAGGGGCCTAGCCCATGGTCATGTGTATTTTCCATAAATGTTTGTGGAATGATTGGGAGTGTAAGTGATAAAATATTTTAGAATGTGGAACTATTGCCAAATGGGGTGTATTGACACCCTCTGCTGAGGGTCATGTCACTGTGGGCTGGGACCATCCCACTGTGAGGAGGAAAAGGGACTTAGACAAATGGAAGGATTAGATAGATGAGACAAGCAGCTGGGGAAGAACATGAGTCAAGGCAAAGAGGTGAAGACGTGTACTGGGTTTGGTTGATGCCAGTTGGCTGGCGCTGAAGTTGGATGTAGAGGAGAGTTGAGGGGCAACAGTGAAGCACGGTGAGAAGTCAAAGTGAAGTTCACTGAGGACCCCAGGTTAAGGGTATAGGGTGGGAAATGGATCCAAGCTCTGTGGACTATGGGGGAGGGTGCCTGCAGAAATATTCAGAGTCTCTACAATCATTAAATTTTTTATCTTTCATCTGATAATAATACTAAATTAAAAAGTTTTCATTTCAATAAAATATATATAACATAAAACTTGCCAACCTAACCATTTATTTTATTTTATTTTTTGAGACAGGGTATCACTCTGTTGCCCAGGCTGGAGTGTAGTGGCGCAATCAAGGTTCATTGTAGCCGTGACCTCCAGGGCTTAAGCAGTCCTCCCACCTCAGCCACCAGAGGAGCTGGGACTACAGGCATATGCCACCAGGCCCAGCTAACTTTTGTATTTTTTGTTGAGACAGGATTTCAGCATGTTGCCCAGGCTGGTCTCCAGCTCCTGAGCTCAAGCAATCCCCCACCTTGGCCTCCCAAAGTGCTGGGATTACATGTGTAAGCCATCATGGCTGGCTTCATCTTAGCCATTTTTAAGCGTACAGTTCAATAGTGTTTTAAGTACATTGACATTGTGCTGCAACTGTCACCACAGTTTTGTAGAAGTTCCAATAGAGGAAAATGATGGGAAAATTGGCCATCAATACCTATAACCATATAGGCAGATGGAATCCGAGAAAGCCATCCAGATCACGACTATAATGTGAACAGCAGCACAGTCAATAGAAGAACATCTGGCATTTGAATTTTATTGGTTTTAAATGTCCATTTGAATTTTATTGGTTCTATGCTTTTGTTTGTATTTGATTTTAAAATTTCTTTTAGTTTTAAAGTTGGATGAAAGCTCTTAGGTTAGAGAGTTGATATCCAAATATATATACATTTTTGAGATGGAGTCTCACTCTGTCAGCCAGGCTGGAGTGCAGTGACACAATCTCAGCTCACAGCAACCTCCACCTCCCGGGTTCAAGCAGTTCTCCTGCCTCAGCCTCCCGAGTAACTGGGACTACAGGCATGTGCCACCATGTAGTAGAAATGGGGTTTCACCATATTGGACAGGCTGGTCTCAAACTCCTGACCTCGTGATCTGTCCGCCTTGGCCTCCCAAAGTGCTAGGATTACAAGTGTGAGCCACTGTGCCCAGCCGGGCTTCTACATATTTTTAAGTTGTATTATAATAAATAATCTTAGGCAATAATGGAAGAAGTCCATGGGAGCTTTCCACCAGGATTAAGTTATTGAGGATTAGCAACTAGGAGGTGGTAAATGGAGATGGCTACAGTGTCAGTTCAGGTTTGAACTGGACTGGACCTGGACTAGGAGTTGGCAGAATGTAATGAGAAGATGAAGAAAGAGTAAGGCACATCACTTACTCCTCCCAGATGTGGGAGGAGCGAGAGGAAGTTGCAAAGATGGCTCCTGTCTGGATACCTGTGAGACCCTCAGAAATAGGAGAGTCCAGAGAAGAGACTAGGGCAAAAAGATTAGGCAAGTTTTAGCTCTGTTGAATTTGCAGTATTGGCTAGAGATTCAACTGAAGATGCTCTGTGGACAGTGAAGCTGTAGGGCTCCATGTTTCTATCTCCTAAGCTATGGCTGTAGAGAAAAGTTGAGCAATTTTTTCTCAATGCCTGTTGGTGTTTCTCTTGCAAAGGTGGGATCAAAGTTGCCACTATACCTCTTTAATTAGCTGCTGGTCCAGGGACTTTCTTCAAATGACTACTCCAGACAGGATATATCACCCAAAAGCCAAAAGGGCAAAGCTTGATAAAGCTTGGATTACTTAAAAAATATTTTTTGCTTAGTAAAAAAAACAACATAAAGTCAAAACCTCAACAACAAACTGGGAAGGCCTGTTTTTAAAACACTTAAAAACTGAAATAATTTCAAATTTATGGAAGAGTTGCAAGAGTAGTACAAAGAACTTCACTCAGATTCCTCAGTTAAGAGTTTACCACAATGGTATTATCATTTTATCTCTCCATATATACATATTTACATTTTTACAGCGTTTGAGAGTAAGATGCAAACATTATGTATCATTTGTCCGTGGTATTTTAGCACATATTTCTGAAAATCTGTGACATTCTCCCAGATAACTGCAGGTCAACCATCAATTAAGATCCATTCACTATTACCATCTATCTTATCCACAGTCCCCATTCAAAATTTGCCAGTGTTCCAATTTAATTTATATATTAAATATATATGTATAGAAGAACATGTATAAAGATACACCCCTTCCATCATGTTCTGGTGGTGAGAAGCAAGTCGCTAAGTCCAGCCCACGTTCAAGGGCAAGGAGATTTCCTTTAGAAGGGGAAAGTTTCAAAAAAAGCGGTAGACCACAATATCCATTTCTGTAGCTATCTATCCTTATAAAAAAAGACCATGAGCTCACACCAGCACTTCCAATTCCAATCCAATAGGGCTTATTCTAGCTTTACCCACTCCATATTTGTAACCCCCTTTGCTAATAATGAGAAATCTGGCTTCCCTTATGCCTAACTTACTTACTTATTGCTCAATCCTCTGTTTATCACGATTCTACCAAACACAGGGTCAAGTATCCTCACCTCCAGCATTATTGACTTTGGTGATTCTTATGCTGGGAAACTTTTTTTTTTTTTTTTTTAATTTATGACCAAAGGTTGATTTCCTTATAAAGAAATGATTAAGAACATTCAGATACATAAGAAATTATTTCACCCACAGGAATAAGAAAATATGAATCATCTAGTTTTAATTTGGCAAAAATACATATAGACAGAAAAATAAATGGCCAAAAAAATTTATTTTTATGATGCTCACCTGACTTCATAAAAATAAATTGAAACAATAAGATATGATTTTTTAATCTATCAAACTGTCAAATATTAGAAAGATGGCTGATACTGGTGAAGGGTTAATGAGGAGGAGGAAAAGAATCCTCATTAGACAAAAGTAATTGACCCTGGAACAACATGGGCTTGCACTGTGTGGGCCCACTATGTGCAGATTTGTTTCAGTAAAAGTCACTTTGAGTGTGAGCCTGCCTCTCCTGCCTCCCCTTCTACCTCCTCTACTTCTTCCGCCTCTGCCGCCCCTGAAACAGCAAAACCAACCCCTCCTCTTCCTCCTCCTCAGCCTGCTCAGCATGAAGACGATGAGGATGAAGACGTTTATGGTGATCCACTTCCAGTTAATGAATAGTAAATATATTTTCTCTTCCTTATGATTTTCTCTCTTTTTTTCTTTTTGAGATGGAGTCTTATCGCCCAGGCTGGAGTACAGTGGCATGATCTCGGCCCACTGCAACCTCTGCCTCCCAGGGTCAAGTGATTCTCCTGCCTTAGCCTCCTAAATAGCTGGGATTACAGGCACTCGCTATCATGCCTGGCTAATTTTTGTATTTTTGTAGAGGCAGGATTTCACCATGTTGGCCAGGCTGGTCTTGAACTCCTGGCCTCAAG